CCCCCCCCTTTGTAGACTGGCGCGTTTGGAACTTGAACTTCGGACGAGATTCTCTCCCCCTTCGATCTTGGATATCACTATATTACGGATTAATTATTACGAATGAATTAATTAATTGATTGATTGATTAATTAATTATTAATTATTATCATTAATTATTATTAGTAATTATTATTGATGTATTATTATAAAAAATTATAAATTCATTTTAAGAGAGATAAAGAGATAAAAATAAACGATGCTTTTTGTGAGTAACTTGGCTTTCACTGTTCGTGAACGTGTTTTCTCCACTAAACATTTCTGTCATCCCTTAGCTGTCAGCCTTAGCTCCCAAGCCGCAGCCAGGACACCTTTTGGACCACCGACGATGTCGCCGCGGTTTCACAGTCGCTTCCTTTCTCGAGAACGTCGAAACAACGAAGGATGCTGGCGTCTCTATTCGTTGCGATTCCGATCGTAATCGTCGACAGAGTAAGTTCATCAATTCCAGACGTTGCGAGGGATACATTGCTTCCTTCTCTTTCAAACCTATTCGCGGTTTTCCTTGAGAGTTTCCTTGCGGTCTGTGCAATCGAGAAACTTGCGATCGACCTTCAAAGTTTGGAAGTCAAAACTGTTCCATTGTATTTTATTCTATTTTATCTTTTAGAATTTTATACTGTCTATTTTGATCTTGCACGAATGTAGATTTATACGAGACAGTTCACACTAGAGGTTCACACGGTAATATTCGTGGTAAAAATAAGAAAGATAAATCGGGAAATCCAAGTGAAATTCAAGGCTTTGAGGTAAATTAAAGCACGGTTAACCTGTATACTTGACTTCATTCTTCATATCAACAAAAAAGTACAATTTCTTATCTGAAACTCTTCTCAATCCCCGCAAGTGTCTACATTGCAGAGGTTGGACACTCGATACTTTTACAAATCCTATTTCGTGTCAGAAATGAAGATCAATTTAGGTACGGAATAAATAAATCGATATATTTGAATAAATCTCTTAAAACTTGTGTTTTTAATAAATTCAAACAACAAGATATTCGACGTTAATCGATCACGATTAATAGCAAACGTACTAAAGTTGCTCGTCAATTTAGCAAAAAAAAAAAAAGAAAGAAAAACTGTGTGAA